GTGTAATAGGATTTCTAGAATAGGAGGAGACAAAGGTGATTCAATAAAACCAAGCTCTGATTCCTCGGCAGAAACCATGCAGGTAAGCAAACAATCGGATGTCATATTAAAATTCGGGGGGGAAAATGCCAACTAACAATCATAAACCCAGGAAAATTGGCTCTCAGAAATGATGATGACATGAGAACATTTCCAGAGAATCAGAAATTAAGGCATTTGTTAAAACCAGACCAAGCATACAAGGAGTTCTTCCAACAGAATAGCAACATCAGCAGACCTGAGATTAAAACAAATTGACAGCACTAACAGCAATCGAGTGCTCATCATGAAACACACCCACAATACTGAAAATAGGGACTGAGAGATACAAACTTATGATGCAGACACTTACAACATGCCAGAGGAATCAGTGTACTGACTAGAACTTCCAGAAGAAGAAATCACGTTGATTTAAGTTGGGTGAAGGGAAAGGTAATATACAATAATAGTGAAGTAGGCAAATAATTATAGAGGCTGGGGAAGACATTGGGAGGAATGCAGGGGAGAAAAGTAACAAAGAAATGTACTGTTCTATACACAAATTTTCTGTAATGGTGAGTTATATGAGTAGATGTATGGATAGACTCAGGCTGAATGGGTGTGTGTGGGGGTGGGGTTGCATACCCACAAATATATACAGGTTTGATTAAGGTTATCTGTACATAGATATTTGCCTGTTGCAAATATTTCCGAGAAGGTAGTGGAACATACAGAGGACAAAATTATGAAAATTTCTTAGACACAGCCAAACAGCTTTCAACAATGAGTCCCTGGGCCCGGGAGCTCAGGACCACGGTCTTTGGGGACACCAAAATCAACTGGTAAAACATGGACCACAAAGACAACGTTCTGTATCCTGTATTGTCGAGTAGTGACTGGGGTCTTAAAAGCTCATGGACACTCACTCATCTAAGGTGCAACTATTGGTCTTTTTCTGTTAAGAGGACATTAGACTGATGAAAAAGATTTATGCAAACAATTAGTCCAATGGAATAATGGATCATGTGAACCCCAGCTTGCACAATCCTGAGACTACAACAATAAGATGGTACCCAGCTACCACAACCCACTTCTCCGAAAGGAATTGTATTAGAAGATCCTAGGTAGAGTGGGAGAAAACTGTGAAACAACGCTCCACATCATCAATCTGATCAGGTTTACTGTTTGAAAAGAGCTCGGTGAAACCTAAAAACTGTGGACCATGTTTACCCTTCATTTTCTGGACATGAACTTATACTTACGGTTTCAAATCATTTCAGCCAGACAATGGATGGATTTATAAGGGGAGCGATAGCACTAGAGAGGTACTCACATCTTAAAATAATCTGCCATTTGAGATCAAAATGGTAGTGTTCACCTAAGGACAAATTCATAAGGCTAAGAAAAGATGGAGGACTGAAAACAGGAAACAGGGAAGAAGTGGGAGAAAGGGTGTTACATCCAGGGGATTGCAATCATTAAGATGAAACAAATGCGTATAAATTGTTGCCTGATGTAATTGTAAAACTGATGATCTGCACTGCAAATCTAAACCCAAGTCACAATAAAGTCTGTTTCAATCGTGGAGGGAAGGGAAGTGGACTCAAGATAACCAAACCAAACTTATTGTTGAGTTGATTCCTACACCCAGTGCTCTCTGTAATCGATACCAGCCCTGCCTCATTCACATGAAAAGATCTCCCCTTCCCAAATGAGATTACAACGACAAGTACAGAGGTTAAGACTCACGATATACATTTTTAGGAACATAATTCCATAACATTCCACCCTTTGCACCCAAACCCATGCAAACGGCCACATGCAAAATATTATCACATCATATTAAAAGTCCTAATCAACACCAAGCCCCCAATCACATCTTCTGAAACATTTAAACCAATTTGGGTGAGACTTATGCATTTTTCAACCTAGGGAAAATGTTTTCATGGTGAAACTGTGAGCTATGTAGTACACGTTATCTGTTCCCAATGTACAGTAAAGGCACAGGCATAGGTAGAAAATTTTCACTATAGATAAAAAAGACTCAGAGGGAAAGGAAAAACAAAAGATGCCAAGCAAGTACAAAACACAGCAGAAAAAATATATTAACTTTCAAGGCTCAAAAATAAGTATCTCTTCTTTGAGACAGCATGGACAATGGCCCTACCCTTCAGATTCTGTACATTGACCATTCCCTCTGTAGAGTGACTTTGCGTGAAAGACCTTCAGCTCTGGGCGTTAGTTATTTCTTTAGGGCTCACTGGGACCGAACATCTGCTCCCTCAGCATAGGGGCCTTTTCATCCTCTTCACCCCAGCAGGTCTCATTCTTCTGCCTCTGGGGCATAGCAGCTCTGCCCCTTCAGCTTTGGACAGTTTTCCCAATTCTCTGGCACACCTTCAAGACAATTCCAGCTCCAGGATTGAACCGGTAAAGATCGGAGGGCATTAAGGGCTTTACATTTATAAAACGCAATGGTTACGGAGTCTGCACCACAAAAATACCTTGTGAATCCTAACTTCTAACTTTTACAAGGATGAGGTTCTATATGATGAAGAAAACTCATCAATAAAGATGAGAGAATGGACCAGGGCAGTATAATATTGTTAGGGACTAATAGGGAAAGAGTGTGACTGTTGACATGAAAATAATGTTCATAAATCTTAAAAATTACCTGTTAAAGCATGCCTCGTTCCCCTATTTATCAATGGTTTGTTTCCAATGTACAGAATCATGAAGTGAATCATAAAGCTTTAAAATGAGACAGTATATCCATGGTAATTTATTCACTAATTTAGAACTGCAAGTCATAAGTGAATTTGTGAGTTCCAAGGGACTAAGCATCATTGTTTAATTTTCATCTCTGCAAAGCAATTTGACATAATTCAAAATGCTTAAATGTTGTTAGTCCATTATTGTAGCTACTGTGCCAATCCATCGCATACCATGCTTTTGATAACTCTACTTCACCAAGCATGATGTCTTCCTCTAGAGATTAATTTCTCCTGATGAAGAGTCCAAAACAAGCGAGTTGGAAAATGCTCTCTTATGGTCCAGCTTATTTTCATTGGCTAATTTTAAAGTGTATTTCCAGGACTTTCTTTCTTGTCTATTTTCGTATGCACTCTCCACTAGCACCTCTCCATCATGGATGCTCAGCATCATAGCACCATCTAAATCCTTCACCTGATAACAAACTGACTTTAGTCATCTTCAAGTGTAAGTTGATGAGGATCAATGCCCAACTCATTTATTTTACTTTGGAGGGGGTGTGTGTGAAAGGTTCAAAGGACATGCCTTTGTGCCTACACAGCATTTCTTACAGTTCTCCAATTAACCTTACTGATAGTAACTCTTTCTTTACTTACATATATAGAACTTCCTTCCCCTTAAGTTTCTTCAGAGCATAACTTTTTTTCCCCCTTAAAGTTATTTTTTCAACAAACGTTCTCTGGCCATCTTCTTAATGAATAGAGGCATTGAGTGAGACAGGTAGTGGTCCCTGCTGTCATATTTCCTGTGTGGTATTCCAACACCACAGCTGTTGAAGTTAGTGGAACTAGATGGTAAAGATATGGTTCAAATTTGTTAAATAGAATACTCAGCTGCAATTCAAGCTTACTTTTTCATTGTGGAAGTTAGTGCTAATGAATGATAACGAATTGTTGGAAGAAATCAGTTATTTTCCTTAACATGGTATGCATCATGGATTCGTGAAGAATGATTCACCAGTAAGATAGCAATGTGGAGCTCTGCAGTTTTGCTCTGTGCATCACAATTCATAACCTTCAAGCAACATTTGCAAAGCATCAGGAAGCTTTGTCACCTTGTTGTGTCTCATTTACATAGTACCATTGACAACTTACAGTTGCAAATCAATGGCAACATGTAAAGCAGCTCGCACTATTTACAGACACATTTGCTTGTAGGAACTTTTATGCACAATAATATGCTTATTAAAATAATAACTATCATTTCTTTGAATAGCCTGTTCCTCAAATACTTTGTATCTGCTTATCTTTTGGCAGATAGTTATCAATTCAGGCAATCCAAAGCGCATGAATGAGAGAGATCAGTTCATGTGTGTGTTTTTCAGAAATTGAAGTGAGCCGGTACAGATGCATAGGGTTTTATTTCGCTTTAATGTCAGAAAGGACCCATTGCCTTTTCACTGCTTCAACAGCTATGTGCTCAGAAAAAGATGATTATTTTAATGAAGAATTTGTTTCAAGTAGGGGTTGGTTCAATTCTTTTGTCAAAGTGAGGGAAAATTTACATGACATTAGAGGACTCTTGTGGTGTAGTGGTTACACATGGGCTGTGATTTGAAAGGTCAGCAGTTTGAAACCAGCCGCTCTGTGGCTGACAGATGGGGCATTCTACCCCCTAAACAATTGAAGTCTCAGAAAGTCACAGGGCAGTCCTGCCCTGTCCTACAGGGTGGCTAGGAGCCACCATCGACTTGATGGCAGTGGAGCTGTCATGACATTTGAAGTACTGCCTATAATGTGTTTTCTGGCACATACAAAGCTAATTCATACCGTACCTGCCCACCCCCACAATAATTATTGCCTAGAAATATGCACTTATAAAGTTATAGTAAACAAAACCATCACAATATAAATTTTATCCATACCAACATATATAATCACACAAATAGAATAATATCACCTTGATGAAAATATTTGGAATGATTGGGAAAGATATATAGATAGATATCACTGATCAATAAGTTTAAAATTTGATGTAGAAACATACATATTTTCTCAATTACAATGTATTCAATAAATAACCAAAGGTCAGGTATTGCTTTTTTTTTAGACGTGAAAATTGATGCCCATAGAATCTAATGTTTTCAACTCAGGAGTTTTCTTCTTAGGTTGATGGCAAATAGCCTGAGATTAACAAGATCTGATGAGAGAAGAGTTCTGAAACAAAGAAGATTTGTTCTACAAGAGGGAAGACAAGTTAGTCATTCTTACGTTTGGTGATCTCCAAGTGGCCTCTGTCCAATGGATTTTAACAAGGACTCTGGTCGAATTGCTACCTTGGGTGATGTTTTGGGGCTAGAGTCCGATTCTCCACTCTCCTCATCTCCCATGGCTTTAATATAACTCCCACTTCTCATTCTCCTGCACGGTATCTCCTCATCTTTACCACCAGTTGGGTACCCTCCCCATTCATCTTGAGGCACCTAGGATAAAAAGATATACCATTTGCATCAATCTTGTCATTTATCATTTTATAAGTGGCTTTTGGGGCAGGGATTCTCTACAATTACTTGAAGTTATAGCTCTTTATGATCAATGATCATAAAGTTAGAAACACAAAGATAGATATTCCTTAGCATTTGGTCATTCAAATCCTAAAAGGATATAGAAATATAATTATTGTTTCATTCTACTATAAAATGAATAGACATTTTGAAAAATGTTAGTAAAGTAGAAGAAAAAAATGCTTAAAAACTCATTAGGTAGGGGAAAAAATCACTACTAACTTTATACCATTAAATTTGTTTCCATATAGCATAAAAACAGATTGAAAATTAAGAAAATTAGGGAAAGAGGCAAATAATGAAATAAAATAAATAGAAAAAGTGAAGCCAGATGAGGTAAAGGGAAAGAACATAAGAGAAAAAGGAGAAAACGAGGAAGAAAACAGCTACAATATTGGAAATGTATCCCTTAGTATCAAGTTGAAAAGGGGTAGAGGTTTAACTCTAGAAATTGAGCTACGTCATACATGAAAAACACCTCCACTGCTACAAGAAAAATAATTTTGTAACTAGTAATTCCATGCTATTTCCTACAGAATTATAAACGTTTGTTGTGAAGTGCCACTAATGTGATTCAGTCTCTTACTGACCCTATGTACAACCGAATGAAACAATGCCCAGTACTAAGCTATCCTCATAGTCACCGCCACGTCTGAAATTATTGTTACAGTCCCAGGGCCGGTCCATCTCACTGAAGGTGTCCCTGTTTTTTGCTCACCCTCTACTTTGCCAACCGCAATATGTTTCTCCAGAGTGCGGTTCCTCCTGATTAATAACATGTACAAAGTACATGAGATGAGGTTAGCCATCCTCGTGTCCCAGGAGCATTCTGGATGTACTTTTTCCAAGACAGATTTGGTCATTCTTTTAGCAGCCCGTGGTTCAATGTTATTGTGTTAGTCTGGGAACTTTAGAGAAACAAATCCACAGAAGCTCATGTATAGGAGAGAGTTTTATATAAAGGGTAAGTGCACATTAAGAAAACATCCCTACCCAGAGCTGCCCAAGCTCACAAGTCCAACATTAACCCGTATGTCCGACACCAATCCACAAGTCCTCCTCCATCTCACAAAACACACACTATGATGTTGACTGCAGGAGGAAAGCCGAGTCAGTGAGCGTGTAAGCATCTCAGCGCTGGAAAAGTTGAGTCTCCACAGGATTGCTCCAGCACCCAGGGCTGCATCAGGGTAGGTCCATGCGGCTTCTCCTCGGGGATGTCTTGCAGGAAGTGAGCCTGGCCAGCTGAAGCAGGGAACTGCTAAGGCAGCTGCACCCTGGTCCGACCATCACAAAGCAAGAAACCCGAGAACTAGAAAGGCGAGGCTCATGGAGCCATTTATCCCTCCACCCTTCAATTAACCCCACATGTGTTTATGGGCCAGGTTGGCACAATAAACTAACTCAGTTGTTCTCTACCATAATTCAAATACATAAATTCTTTAGTTTTCCTTATTCCTTATTCAGCTTTGGCATATCTATGAGGTGACTGAAAATTCCATGGCTGGTGTCAGGTACACTTTACTTCTCACAGGGACATCTTTGCTCTCTGACACCTTAAAGAAGCGTTTTTCAGAAGTCCAGTGAAATACATCCTCTGATTTCTTGACTGCTGCTTCCTTGAGCAGCGCTTATAAATCAAAGTAAAATGAAATTCTTGACAACGTTAATCTTTCCTCCATTTTTGTGATGTTACTTAATTTTCCAATTATGAGGACTTGTTTTATTTTTTATTGAGGTAAAATCTATTTTATAGACTATAGTCTTTGGTTTCCATTAATAAATGCTTCAAGTCCCTTTCCTTCTAACAAGCAAGGAAGTGTCATCTATATATGACAAGCTGTTAACGAGTCTGCCTCCTACCCTGATGGCCTGTTCTTGTTCATACAGTCCAAGCATTAAGTTTACTTACTCAGCATACAAACTGAATAAGTCTAGTGAAAGGATACAATCCCCACACACCGTTCCTGAGTTTAAACCACCCACTAGCCCTATTCTGTTGTATCTTGATCTATGTAAAGGTCCCACATGAGGACAGTAGTTGTTCTGGAATTTCCATTCTTTGCGATGTAATCCACAAGTTGTATGAGCCAGACAGTTGAATACATTTCCATAAGTAATAAAACAGAGTAAACATCTTTCTGATAGTTTCCCTTTCAACTGAGGTCTGTATGATATCTGCGATGATATCCCTTTTTCCGTGTTCTCTTTTGAATCTGGCTATAATTTCTGGAAGTTCCCTCTCAATTTCCTGCTGAAGCCATATTTTGAGTTATCTGCAGTAAAACTTGTGTATGATATTTATAATATTTTTGATAACTTATGCCTCTTCTTCAATCACTTTTCTTTCAAATGGGTACACATATGGGTCTCTTCTAGTTGGTCTGGTAGCTGTCTTCCAAATTTCTTGGCACAGATGAGTGGGTTTTCAGCATTGCATTTGTTTGTTGAAACATCTGAAATTTTATTGTCATATCCTAGAGATTTATTTTTTCGACAATGCCTTCAGTACAGTCTGGATACCAGTGGTCTTGATCATATCACACCTCCTGAAGTGAATGAATGTTGACCGATTCTTATTACCGAAAATTCTCTCTTGCTTCCTGTGTTGCTCAGTATTTTCCCCATAGAATCCTTCAATATTTCATCTTGAGGCTTGAATTGTTTCTCCAGTCCGTAAGCTTGAGCGTGTTATTCACTTTTGGCTTTCTAATCTCAAGTTTTCAATATTTTATTATAATACTCTTCTTTGTCTTTTCTTTGTTATTAGCATGCATTTCAGCTTTTGTACTTCATTTCTTCTATTTGTTTTAGGTGCTGCATGTTCAAGAGCAAATTTCAGAATATCGTCTGACATCCATTTTGTTTTTTTCTCCTCTTCTTTTTTAATGTTCTTTTTCTTTCTTCATGCATGATAATTTTTATGCCATCCCACAACTCATCTGGTCTTTGGTGATTATTGTCCTATGTGTCAAATCTATTCTTGAGATGGTCTCTATATTCACATCATATATTTGGTAGTTTGTAGTTAGGCTCTCATGAACTTGAGCTTGTTTTAACTTCATCTTCAATTTGAACTTGCATATGAGCAAGTGATTATTTGGTAGCCTGTCTCTCACTTTATTCTGAATGATGATTTGGAGCTTCTCCACTATCTCTTTTCGTAGATTTAGTTGGTTTAAGTCATGTATATTACATTTGGAGAGGTCTATATGTATAGTTTCTATTAATGTTGTTGAACACATGTTTTTGCAACAAATAGGTCATTGGTTTTGCCAAATTCCATCATGTGATCTCTGGGGTCATTTTTTATCAACCATGTCATGTTTTCTAATTACTGATCCTTCTTTGCTTCCAACTTTTGCATTCCAGTGTAGCACTAATTACCACATGCAGTGGTAATTACTGCTTGCATGTTTGATCAATTTTAAGCTGTAGAAGTTGGTAAAAATATTCAGTTTCTTCATTTTCAACATAATTGGTTGGTAGGCAAAATTGAATAATAATTGTATTATCTTGTCTTCCTTGTAGCCACATGGATATAAATCCATCTCAGACACTGGGTGTACCTCAGGATGGATCTTGAAATATTCTTTGTGATGATGAATATTTCATCATTCCACTATAATATCTTATTCCCGGTATAGAAAGTTATATAATTATGTGAATCAAAATGGCCAATACAAGTTTTTTGGCTCACAAAGACCCAGAATATTGGCCTTTATGTATTCAATTTATTTTTGACTACATTCAATTGTCCTAGATTCTTACTTTACTCATCTTATGTTCTGATTATTAATGGATTCTGTAGCTATTTATTCTCCTCATTCTGAGTCATGCCACACCAGCAAATGAAGGCACAAAAAGCTTTACTACGCCCATGACATTAAGGCTACTTTGGGCTGTAGCTCTGTCTTAGTAATATTTTGAATGCCTTCCAGCCTGAGGGACTCAGCTTCTGTCAATATATCATAAAGTGTTCTGCTGATATTTATAAAAATTTCTCTGGCCAATCTTTTAAGATGTAGATCAATCACCAAGTCTTTCTGCCTAGTCTTTCTTAGTTTGCATGATCTGCTGAAATCTGTCTACCATTTGTGACCTGCTTGTATTTGCAACATCAGGGGCATAGCTTTCAGTATCACATAAATAAGCAAGCCACCACACTGCCAAACTAATGGACGAATGGTGGGAACTATAAATACATGTTATACATGAATCCATGTATTAAACAGCTACTCAAAAATTTCAAGAGCAGGGTAAAGGATAAATATGATAAATCAAGTAAATATATTTTCATTCATCAAGCATACATAACATTGAGATTACCACTTTACTAAAATCAGAAACAAAAAATCAGGAAACTTGTTTTAATAAGGTGTTTCCAACACTTGCATTCTGTCTAGGATATAGATTTCTGTTCACAGATGTTCATTAGCTTGACCAGCTATGTGGAAGCTCTGGAAAAAGTCTAATCTATAGGGCAACTTCACATTTACAAAACTAAACAGAGTAAAACAAAAATCACTGTGCAGCAGCTCAGTGTAAAGATCCTCACACTTCATGATGCATACTACACAATCAATTCTGCGTGAAAAAAGGATCTAACATCCTGGCAATTGGAGAACATAAATCTCTTGCAATTACTTCCTTTACTTTGATGTTCATGTAGAAAGAAAATGATGTCATGTTTTTAAAAAATTCACAGTAGGTGTTTTTCATTTGTAAAATACTTAGACATATTGACATATAGTCTTTATATGATTCTAAAAAGAATGCAACTCTTTCCAGTCTTGCTATTGCAAATGAGCCAATTATTCACTTCCGGAAGAGACCCAAGCACCTCGTCTGTGTGGAAAGGCAGTGCTTTTCACGTGACAGTCCCTTTTATCCATCGCCTGAAAACAGGAGATGGTAAC